GGGGGGGGGGGGGAAGAGAGAGAGAGAGAGAGAGAGAGAGAGAGAGAGAGAGAGAGAGAGAGAGAGAGGGGAGAGACACAGAGAGACACAGAGAGAGAGAAAGAGAAAGAGAGAGGGAGAGAGACAGAGAGAGAGGGAGAGAGACAGAGAGAGAGGGAGAGAGAGAGAAAGAGAGAGAGAGGAGGGAGAGACACAGAGAGAGAGAGAGAGAGACAGAGACAGAGACAGAGACAGAGACAGAGACAGAGAGACAGGATACGTAAGCAATAGAAAAAAATCTGCAGCAGTCAGTCTCGTTATCTCCCTCAAGGCGGAAAGAACTCTCTTGGGATGAGAGACAATAAGAGGTGTCGAAACAGACGACCGGAAATGTACGCGGGGACAGATGAGAAAGCGACCCGGTCTAAAGATATTTATCAGAGAATAATGTTATTATGTTGGGAGTTTTCTAGTGTGGGGCTTGGCGGGTTTTTCTATTGGGGTTGTTTTTAGAAGGTGGTAGAAAATGGGAAACTATGGGAAATTTTTGTTAGGGGGGGGGGGATGTCTGAACGTTGTATGAGAAGACAGGCCGTGCCAGTTTGTTGTTTTTTTCACCCACGCATACAGTGACACACTCAATGACACACATCCACACATGTAATGACACACCCAGTGACACACTCAGTCAACGCCTCATGAAAAGTAAATGAATTCTAGTACTTTTGTAAAAATAATAATAATAATAATAATAATAATAATAATAATAATAATGACGATGATAATAATAATAATTTTAAAAAATATTAGTCGGAGCGAATACTGGCAGTTTTCATTATTTCTGGTCCAAGGGAAACGACTGCAATATTGTAATCTTCAAACTTGTTATTACAGAGTTGTTGTTCTTGTGATAGGTGATTCTTTTTATTAATGTCTCGCTGTTAACGTCTATTATTCACACACATGACACAGTCTTTCGGAAAAGCACAAAACGCACAAATATAATATGTGTGTGCGTGCGTGCGTGCGTACATATTCATACGAATACACACATACTCAAACAGTAGGGTTTTTTTTTTGCTTTTTTTAATCAACATAAAGACCCATACCACGCATAATAGTAAGAAACCAATTCTACAATGATGATAAGGTCTCGATCTGAATCACAATATTGCAGCCATAAATATTTCGATTCTGGGGGGAAAAGCAAAACAAAACAAAACAAAACAAAACAACAAGGATTGAGCATAGTCTGCACCAACTTAAAGGTAAAAGATGCGGTAAGTAGTTTCACAGGTCGCACAGTGATATCTTAGTTGCAGTGTTCGTTTTTGTTTTGTTTTTAGTTTAGTTTTAGTTTTAGTAAGAATTTTACGGCACTTGCAACACAGTAAGGTCACATAAGTGCCAAAGATTAGAGGTGTTACCTTGTATTTTCCCTCGGAATTTTCAAGGTAATTCTGTATTTTTCATCTATTTTTTTTTACTCTCTGATAATTCTGTATTTTCCCCTTTTTTCTTCCGTATTTTCAAAGGTAATTCTGTATTTTTCATCGGTTTTTTTTAATTTCTCCTCGCAGGGAGCTCTGTGTTCTCGGACATGTGTGACCCGCTGATGTACACAGACTGCTGGATCAAGAACGAGCCGGGCGAGTCCAGCTTCCTCAGCCAGGACGTGGGTGATACACTCCTGGCACACCTGCAACAGCTCGATAATGTCGGCTACAGCACCGACTCTCCGCCTTACGACTCGGGTTCCGGTGAGTCACATGCACGTTTGTTTGTTTGTTTGTTTGTTTGTTTGTTTGTTTGTTTGTTTGTTTGTTTGGTTGGTTGGTTGGTTGGTTGGAAGAAGAAGAAGAAGAAGAAGAAGAAGAAGAAGAAGAAGAAGAAGAAGAAGAAGAAGAAGAAGAAGAAGAAGAAGAAGAAGAAGAAGAAGAAGAAGAAGAAGAAGAAGAAGGAGAAGAAGAAGAAGAAGAAGAAGAAAAACAACAACAACAACAACAACAACAACAACAACAACAACAACAACAACAAAGAGACGAAGGAGACGAAGAAGAAGAAGTAGTAGTAGTAGTAGTAGTAGTAGTAGTAGTAGTAGTAGTAGTAGTAGTAGTAGTAGTAGTAGTAGTAGTAGTAGTAGTAGTAGTAGTAGTAGTAGTAAAACAACAACAGCAATAATGACAACAGCAACAACGACAACAACAATAACAACAACAACAATCACATTAACAATAAGAAGAACAGCATCAACAGCAAAGATACTAACAACTGCAACAACAATAGCAACAATAGCAATAGCTGCAAAAAAAGCTGTTATTGTTGTTCTTTCTATTTATTATTATTATTATTATTATTATTATTATTATTATTATTATTATTATTATTATTATTAGACTCTATTTTTATTATATTATTATTATTATTATTATTGCTATTATTATTATTATTATTATTATTATTATTGCTATTATTATTATTATTATTGCTATTATTATTATTATTATTATTATTAGGCCCTTTTGTTGATGATGATGTTGTTGTTGTTGTTATCATTATTATTATTATTATTATTATTATTATTATTATTATTATTATTATTATTATTATTATTATTATTATTATTATTATAAATAGGCCTAATAATAATTATAATAGTAATAATAATTTTATTATTACTATTATCATTAAAATGATTATTATTCTTTTTTTTTAATTATTATTTTTTTTTTTTTAATTATTTATATTATTATTATTATTACTACTATTTTTACAATTTTTTGTGGAGGGTTTCGTATTATAGAAGTAGAAGCAAAGATTCTGCACGTCTGTAGCAAAGAATCTTTGGCAGAAGTACATGTAAAGGCAATGCCAATTGCATTGAAAGCGGTGGGGTAGCAACGGCTGCATAATATTATATCGGCATCACGCGACAGCCACGGCAGTAGAAGCCAGCAAAAAAAAAAATCAACTGCAGCAATAAAGGCAAAAATATAACCATAAAGAAATTACCAACAACAACACAATATTAACAACACAACAACAACAGCAACAACAACAACAACAACTCTTGCGCAAGGAGAGGGCACTTTCAACAGGACGTCAATTGCCCTTCGGTTGTTTTCGTGTACTTTCGTTTTCGTTCTTGTATGTGCTGTTGTTTATCCACCGTGATTAATTTGACGGTTACGTCCCCTACATTCCTTTCCCGACTATTTTCGAGCATCGTCACCAGGAAGCGAAATGTGTTACTGTCTACAACATGTGTTCATGTTGTCCTGAGCCACTAGATCTACGAATAGATAGTAAAAAGATAGAATCAGACCTTGATGCGATCCCAAAGTATTACAGTGGTAAGTGTTTAGTGTAGTGAGTCGAGTTGAAAGAGTGTTTCCTGTAATTTTCGGTGGTTCTTGTGCCGTGTGTGTGGACGAGGGAATACAAGACCCAAGACGCCAAAGTCAATACCCTTGACGAAGCAGGAAGTAGATTGACAATAGGCCACAGACCTAGATTTAGGTTGTGTTATTGTGACTCGGCAAACCAGAAATTATAAAGTAAAGATACGTATTTTTTTGTTTGTTACGGGTGAAAACGTCTTTTAAGTGGTCTTATTGTTCTGTCTTCATTTGTTTTTCTCTTCCTGGGGCCTTATATTTTACTTAGATTTCTAGACTTAGGCTAACTAACGTAGTTAGGCAGGATCTGCAAGCTCAAGCAAGATCCTGGTTGGTAGGGCAGGGAACTAGAATCTCGTCCCATGTCTTCTTGGGGATCTCTCTTTGAAAAATTCTGATGACATATAATAATGAGACCAGCTGCAGCATTGGTTTAATGTTCACAGGATCAGAAGTTTACTGTTATCAATTGTACGTCTGATTTCTAAGATCAAGATTTCTATTACTGATAAAACATGTCATTTTTTTTGTCCCATGTCCCCTGCAATGAGGCTAGACTACTTTTTAAAAAGTAGGTCACTGTGTGGTTCTTTTTTTTTAGGTGCTGATAAAAGCCTGTCACTATTTATTTTAGTTCGTGAACTAGATCATAACCAACTGAAACAAGTAGGCCCCTAGGCCTAATTAGATATAGAGTCTAGATCTACATTGATAATTTGGTCTGGAGTCAATTATTTTAGTGGTAAGTGTTTATACAGTAAGCAGACAGTCACTTACTTTTCTACTAGATTCTAGATCTAGATATCTAGTTGGTAAGGGAAGGGGCAAGTAGTAGGCCGTACAATACACACGACTGCGACTGAATCCAACACCTTCCTTCTGATCCTCGGGCTGTTGTGATATAATATATGAGACAGAGAAGCCTGGGGATTCCTTTCCAGAGGTTATAGTTAGTTTTATAATAATTTGCCACCTGGGTTTCATACTGAATTTTTTTTTTCCCTTCGTGTTTGTTCCCAGAAGATTATGATAGCAGCTATGAGCCTGGACCCTGCGGCTATGTGCCCAATGTGGCCCACAGCGTGGACTACTCGTCCGACATCTACCACCGAGAGGCAGTTTCACACAGTCAGACGTGGCGAAGACAACCTTCGCCTGCTTCTGATGAAGGCTTTGTTGAAGAGCTCAGTTTACCGGAAAACCTCCCCAATTTTGATAAAATCCAGGTTGGTTTTCAAAACTGAAAATGTGTTTGCTGGCATCATTAAAGACTGTCGGCAATAACGTTAGTCACCTGTCACTATGTATGACTGTGTTGGTCTTTCAGTCGGTGCCCCACTCTTTGCGACAACTGGCAGACCCTAACAATGTATATTTATAGTATATTTGAATCACTATTCTGTGTTCTTGAAAAAGTAACACTTTAAAAAATATAATGTATAGTTTTACTTTATTATTTTTAAGCATTTAATTTTTAGTTTTAGTCTTTGAAGTAAAGATGCGGTTAAATTTAGGGCGAATGAGATATTTTGACAATGTCGATCTCTGTGGCTAAACTCTTTTCTAAATGGACATATATCATATGCAAGTTTCTAAAAATGAGTTCTTATTTAAAAATATGTCAGGAAACTAGCAATGGGAAATGTTTTAACCACTCTTGTGTGTTCTTAAAAAATAGCATATATTTTCCAAATTGTTTTGTAAATTGTTACTTTTCTTGATTTTCCAGAACCTGCCATCAGAGGGGGAGCAGCAAAACATGCCAGAGTCGCGGCCGGCCTCCTCATCTTGCACCAAGGAAAGGAAACGGCAGAGAGAGTCGCCGCCGATCGCTGACAAGGAGAGGCGGAAGCCGGGACGGAAACCGGGCCAAGGTATGTTGACTCTCCGGCAAACTAACATTAATAATTATAGATTGCATTTTTATAGCGCTCTATATATCCCATACTTGTTTAGGCTCTCAGCGCTTTACATCAGTCACATGGTCACTGAGAAATTCACGCAAGACAAAATATTTCACAGTAGCAAGAAAAATCAGTTCTACCACATAAAAAAGAACTTTCACAACCATGATACATTAGTTTTATACACGTGAGGACAACAGTAAAAACAAAACGTACCAGCACTTACTAATACACTACAACTATAGTCTACAGACAAACCTTCTGTAACGGCCACCTGTGTAACATACATACATGATTTTCACAGTCAAAGTTGCGAAATTGTTTTCTCTGTTGACGGTACAAGGTGGTCTGTGATGAGTGGTTCACATGCTCACGGTTCGTTTTTCTGTGGTCTGGTTTTGAACAGTGTCGAACGTGCTTCACCTGTGGGAGTTTATGAGGGACCTGCTGCACGGCCCGGAGTACAGCGGCATCATCGAGTGGATCTCGAAGAAGGACGGGGTGTTCCGAGTGGTCAACTCCAGCGAGGTGGCCCGCCTCTGGGGGGAGAAGAAGAACAACAAAAAGAAAATGACGTACGAAAAGCTCAGCCGCTCGCTCAGGTGAGAGTTTGTCCCGTAGATCGGATCGTATTGTATTGTTTGTCCGTCTGTCGTATTGTGTGGTTTGTCTGTCGATCGTATTATGTTGTTTGTCTGGCGATCGTATTGTGTTGTCTGTCTGATCATATTGTGGTGTCTGTCTGTCGATCGCATAACGTTATTTTGTCATTCTAGCTGGTTAAACTGGCTAGGCTTGAGTCGTCATGACGGCTTTGAACATCTTGCTCTTGCTGAGTACTTAGATATTTAGATGGCAAAAGAGGCAGAGGTAGACAGAGAACAAGAATAACTTGCTTACAGAACTTCAACAGATGGGTCAGGGGGAAAGGGTTTGGACAGTAAAATATTACATTAATAACGTAAGCATCTTTAGAGCGTTTGAGCAGAGAGCCTCGTACTACGATAATGGTGAATGCTGGCGACGGTATATTTGCTACAATATATGTATATATATACATCTAAGACTTCATCTGAGCGTGTGTTCTGACATAAGAGAGTGATGAATGCTGGCGACAGTATATTTGCTACAATATCTAAGACTTCCATCTAAATGTGTTTTGTACAACTTTGACTTTTCAGGTATTCTCGACTGGAGGGCTACTTCTCTAACCTGCCCAAGGACAAAAACTACCCGAAAAAGCTGTGCTTCAAGTTTGGACCCAAATCTCGCGACTGGCACTAAACTTGAGGGAAGGAGTTTGAACATGTTTAGGTTGGAGGAAAGAGAAAAGTTGGATCAGTTGGATTTTACTTATGTGCTTCACAGTTGTTATATTGCTTATGCAACAATAGAGAAGAGAAATCTCAACAGGGCGTTTCAGTGAACAGTCGGTGCAGATGCTGACAGAAAATCACGAGGGATTCATAATTTCTTCTTCAATTGCCTTAGAGAGGACACACAATTCTTCTACCCTTTTAAAAGATATGGGCGCGTAGTTTGGTCTTGAGATTGTGAGAAAAAGTCGTTTTTTGTACAAAGAAGAATGAAAATTTCCTCTGTATACGATTTCACTATGTTTTGAAGGGGGGGAAATGTCCTGGCTGATTGAGGCAGCAGGATAGCCCAAACTTTTTTTCACATCTCGGATAGCTGTCCATACATACATACATACATAGGCTCAGGCAGTCTGACGGGCCCATAGACTCAGGCAATTTTATCAAATAGAAGATCAGCTGTCGGCCCTGCCTTACAGGTATACATGTTGCTCATATATATTTATATATATTGTAAAGGCTTGGGGGGGGGGGGTTCCAGTTTGCAGATGTATTCCCCCCAGTCTTAGCCTGGTAGTGTAGTTTTGTGTCCAAAGCAACACTTGTGCCTTTATGTGTAGAATATACAGTGCAGCCTCTCTACAGCCACATCGTCAGGACCAGAGAAAAATATGTCGTTTCGTTATGAATAGAGAAGCGACTAAAAATATTACTAATGATATATGAGGGGGGGGGGGATCAGGACCTGGGCACCGTGTCGCTATACAGAAAGAGGATGTCGTTATAATATCGACGGTTGTTGTTATAGACGGGCTGCGCTGTAATTTGTTCTTGTGGCATACTTTGGATGGTGCCTTTTGCCTGTAGCACCACGCCGCTGTACACCGGTACTGTACTGTTCTGTTCTGTACTACTGTAGGCCATGCCGCTGTACACCGGTACTGTACTGTTCTGTACTACTGTAGGCCATGCCGCTGTACACCGGTACTGTACTGTACTGTTCTGTACTACTGTAGGCCATGCCGCTGTACATCGGTACTGTACTGTATTGTACTGTAGGCCATGCCGTTGTCTACTGTTCTGTACTTGGACGAGGAAATCACGGAAATGCCACTTGCTCAAGAGTGACTGCTGCAACTGTTAACGCGTGTGCATGCATGTGCGTGTGTGTGTGTGAACGAGAGTGTTTATTGCATGCGTGTCACTCTCTCTGCTCTGGGAGAGATGTTTATAAATAAAATTTGTATTTTATATATATATATGGATAATTTGAGAGGTCCGAGTTGGCGGGATTTTTTGTAGGACGAACGCGAAACCAAATTTACTTCTTTTTTTTTGTCTGTATCTCCCTCTCTCTTGTAACGTTTGTACATTATGAACTAGTGCTCTAAGAAAGCTCTGATGTTACCGATGCCTTGTTCCCTTCGTCGTGTTTAGTAGCGTGTCTTTGTCACCTGTTAGCGCAAGGCTAAATCATTCAATCAAATATGTTGATACTGTGATATATGTAACTGTAACTCTCTTTGATGCGGTCTGAGTGTAGCTTTGCTCATTCATATATATATATATATGTATGCTAGGTTCAGTTCAATCTGTTGTCTTGTACCATGGGTATACAGGATGGGTGGGTGGGTGGGTGCAAGATTAGTAGTATGCCACAATTGTATTCTGAGGAAGTTAATCCTGAAATTCGTTGGTGTGGTTTTGGGGGGTTTTTTGTAAAGGAAAGGGAGAGAAAAGGTAATGTCTCTGAGAGCAGGTGTATTTCTCATTTGCTGTTTATTACTTCCTTTTCCCCCCCCCCCTCTTTTGGCTATTGTTACTGACTTGTGCCTTGAAGAGAAAGTACTGTTATATATACGTATAAATATGATATATTATATATATATATCCACATTTCCAGATCTCTCTCTGTGATTCATTCTTAGCTGCTTGGTGAATTTCTGCTAACTCCATTTTATACGAAGTGATTCACTTTTCTTTTTTCATGTACATACTTTTTACATGCCTTCCAGAATGAGCTATTTATAGATCCTTCTAAAGTGTTTTTTTTTTTCCTTTACTTTTATGCAGTAAATACTTGAGAATCTGTATGTAGCGCTAAACTACTACTAGCCACCCTTCACTCGATCACGCGCTTACTTTGTGATATTTTTGCCCGTCACAAGAATGACGCTCTGAATCTGAATGAGAAAGGAAAAATGTTTGTTGCGGCCCTTAGCCTGGCCTGGCCTGGGCTGGGCTGGGCCAGTGTTTCGATCACGTTTAAATTCCTCCGTCACGTTTCCCCCTCAAGAAAGACAATGTCCGGCCCACGAGCGGGGTCCTTGTGTCAGTGAGCGGTTGGTACAAACAAAAGTGAATCAAACGATGGAAGTAACAGCTGTGTGATTCTTTTTTCCTTGTCGAGTCGGGGACATTCATATTTGAACATTCCAATCTGCATAATATTGCTGAATCTTTTTTTTTTTTTTTCAAATCTTTATTTTTGTTCAATCAAAAACAAAAACATAAAAAAATGAAGAAGAAGAAGTTGTATGATATAGACGTCGTTTAGCGCTAAATCAACAAGAGCAAAGTTTCTACAACTTTCTGCGAGTTATTGTTTCTCCCATGCTGTGATCTTCGATCCATTTGTTAGATCGCTGCACTTTTCCGTCTGTGTCGACATGCCTCATTGAGTAGTGTGATTTACAGTCCCACATACATTGTCCTCACTCTGTGTGTCGTGTGTGTGTGTGTCGTGTGATATACAGTCCGACACACATTGTCCGAGCTGTACGCGTGTGTCGTGTGATTTACGTTCCCACACGTCCTCGCTTTGTGTGTGTGTGTGTCGTGTGATATACAGTGCGACACACATTGTCCGAGCTGTACGCGTGTGTCGTGTGATTTACGTTCCCACACGTCCTCGCTTTGTGTGTGTGTGTGTCGTGTGATATACAGTGCGACACACATTGTCCGAGCTGTGCGCGTGTGTCGTGTGATTTACGTTCCCGCACGTCCTCGCTGTGTGTGTGTCGTGGGATAATTTGTCCCGCTGGTCAGCTCAACTGCCATGGCCTTGTAGTAGATCAGTCGTCAGCGATCTTGTCTCTATGCAATGTCTGGTTCTGGTGATGACACGCTGTCAGTCTGTCAGTGTCAGAACTGTACGTGGGTTTGTTGGCGTCTGTCGGTCAATGTCAGAACTGTACGTGGGTTTGTTGGCGTCTGTCAGTCAATGTCAGAACTGTACGTGGGTTTGTTGGCGTCTGTCAGTCAACAATGTCAGAACTGTACGTGGGTTTGTTGGCGTCTGTCAGTGTCAGAACTGTACGTGGGTTTGTTAGCGTCTGTCGGTCAATGTCAGTGCTGTGCGTGGGTTTGTTGGCCAGAGAAGTGGCAGGAGCAGGAGGAGGAAGTATGAGATGAGCTTACATTCCATAAAGTTGTTGCTGTTGTTTCTTTGTTTGGGGTTTTTTTTTTTTTTTGTTGTTGTTGTCACATACATGTGTATACATACCCCATCCATTCTTACTTTCTCTTTTTATTTATGAGCTTTTGTGCCATGTTGCTACTGTATAGTGCCCACGTTCCAGAGGTTATTGATATGATGGGATTGTTACCTTCTTCTTTATTGTTCTGTCCCCGGGGGTTTATGCACCCCGCATAATTTAGCAAAATTTGATCATTTTTTGGGCATAATTTCTGATTATTTTCCTTTATCATTCTTTGATTTTTTTTAAATAAATAAAAACAACAAAGAGTCGCATAATTTCACATTTTTGGGCTCAATTTGCATAATTTCAGAATTTTTCTTGCATAAAACCGCGGGGACAGCTTCTTTATTGTTGATGAAAACTCTGCCTTGTGTAGCACTCTCACTACTGTGTATAGAATAGATTGTATTGAATTAAAAGTTCTTTGTGTTTTTTGTTTTTTTGTACAACACACTGGACCTCCTTCACACATTCACTCTTCATTCTTTAATTTAACATCTATTCCCCCCTCCCCTCCCCACCCACCCCTCTGTACATGTTTTCTTTCTGCCTCCATCCATCTATCCTTTCTTCCTTCCTCCGTTTCAAGTTTCTCTAGCTCATTCTGTTCCACGTTCAGACATCCTGTGTGTCTCTCCTCCTGTTCTTTCTTTTCATCTGCTCTGTTTTGGTTTTTTTCTTTTGTTTGTTTGTTGGACCCTCCTGTTGATGCCTGCAGGAGTAAAGTAAAGTAAAGCCACATCTTTCTCGCTAATGATATAATATATCGATCGTATTTTTATGATCTGGACTTTCTCCTCGGGTTCCAGTCCTCGGTGTGGCTGTAATTAGAAGATGCATGTTTTTGTCGCTGAGGGGAGGTGGATATGTTTTTTGTTTTCCCCCAGTGCCCTGGGCTGTCGTGGCGGGTCACACTCAACTGTTGGTCCTGTTTGGTTTTGTTTGTTGTTGTTTTTTTTGTTTTTTTAACTTGAAACCTGACTGTTGAGGAAAATAGAATTCTCGTACGGTGGACTATCCTCATTTTTGTCTGTCAGTCACGTTGTATTGAACAAGTAGATATGGGGTTTTGTCATTTTGGTCAATTAATTTGCTTTTGAAATAATATGGATTTTTTTTTAAAAGCATAATAATGATACATGATGTTTAAAAGCACCAACAATACTTTGAGACTATTAAGTTACTTGCTTCAAGCAAGTCCTCGTGGGTGGTTGGCAGGTGCTCTGGTGTGGTTTGCTTCGTCTTTCCTACCAAACGTCTATCGTCCTTATCTCCCATCCTCCTTCTTTTTTGCGTTTGTTAAGTTACTCTCTTGTAACACCTCTAATCTTCGGCACTAATAATATGACCTAATTGTGTTGCAAGTGCCGTGAAACGCTTACTAAAACTAAAGTAGGTCCTCGGGCAGAGTGGTTTTTGTAAATTTTGAAAGTTGTTCCTGTGTAAAACAATGTCATTTTAGTTTTGTTTTTAAAATAAGTTTTGCTCTCTTGATTGTAGTGCACATCATGTACAAGATCTTAGTTATACAAGACTACTTTTTTTTATATATTTTTTTTTAATATACCTGTCACATTTTGATTCATTTTGAATAGACTGAGATGATGACAACGGCGGGTGTTACTTGTTGTTGACGACAGGTGTAACCTTCCTCCTGCAAAGAGTAGAGTTACGTTTTACATCGTTTTTACACTGCTTGTTTGATATCAAAAGTTGGCGAATTCGTTGATTAGGAAAAAAGAAGTTGTAGTTGTAGTAGTTGAAATTTGATGACCTAGCGAG